TTTTTTTTTTTTTTTCTTTCTTTCTTTTTTTGGTATGAATGAGTGTTGAACTTTGTCAAACAGTTTTTCTTCATCTGTCCACATGGTCATATGGTTCTTGTCCTTGGCATTGTGGTTGTGGTATGTTACGTTTATTGATTCACACATGTTGAATCATCCCTGCATCCAAACCAGGTATGTTTTTAAAGAAGATCACTCTGTCTTTTTTTCTTTTGTAATCCTAATCTTTTATTTTAGCCAAATAATGAATTCCCAAAAGAATTATTGGAGAAAAGATTATTTCAAAGGCTGATGCTTTAATTAAAATATTGTTGTCCGATTCAAAGTAGTCACTTACTGAGCACTTTCCCTTGAAAGAACTGATTGAAAATGACAGAGGAGGTCTTAGACTTACCTTTTTAGACAATCAAAATACAGGAGTAAATCTGATGAAAGAAGATTTTCATAGTACAAAACTCTCTATGTTTAACTTTTTCATAATGATTAAGTACTATCTAAGTCTATAGATATTCTACCAATTTCACATAGTATGTTCTTGCTACTGTTTTTTAAATCCTAGTGCATTTTATAGTCATGCTAGTGAAAAAATAGTGTATAGATAATACCAAGTGATAGATTGTTCTTTTGTCATATATTTGATTTTGTAGTTGTTCTTTTCTTTAAAGTTGAACATGATGACATTGTGTTCTTAGTTATTTAAGATGAACAGTGAAGTAAGGAATTTGGTAGGCTGTCTAATTTTATTATCCATCTTGATTCTATATTCCCAGAAGAAGAACAGTTCTGTCCTCATTTAGTCTCACAACAGTTCTGTGGGGGAATAAAACTTGTCTTCCTTTGACAGACAAGGAGCCCAAGTGTAGAGAGGTCGGTGGCGTGCACCGGTGACGTGCGCACACGCCATCAGCGGCAGGGCTGGCTTCGCACCGTCTCACTCAGAGTCCTGTGCTACTCCCAGTCTCGCGCTGGTTGCCCGCTCTGACACTGATGTACTAGTTTATCCTTTTCACACGTGTTTTTGTGTATTATAATTTAACATTTCCTTTTAGAGTTCTAGTCTTTATTTTAGATAAAATGTTTTTTGCTAACATGTGCACTGAATTTACTGTCCTTGGAATAATGAAATACTGAAGTCTAAGCAGATTTTTTCTATTCCTAGAAGTAAAACTATTTTTATTGTTTTTTTTTTGCTTAAAGATAATTTTTTTTATTCATTTCTTGAGTGGACTGTAGTTTGAAATGAGATTGAACAGAGAAGGTATAATGTAAGCCCCCAAATAAAAGAAAAATAATGATGTTTCTCAGAGTACTTCAGAGCAAATAGGGAGTATATTTTGGGACAGGTACCACCATGTAAAGTATTTTAATTTTAATCATCTGCGTATAGTTATGATTATTCTAGAAACTAATAATTACTTAATGGCAAAATCATAGAAATATGTATTATAGGATAATCAGTCAGTATATTGATGAGATCAGGTGTGTTCAAGGCAGTATGGCCGTAGACTCGACCAGTATATTGAATTAAAATATTTTATTAATTTCATAATGTCATTTAATAATTTTTTACTTAACTGATTTTAATTTATATATGTTTTTTCTTTTAAATAGGGAGGAAGAATTTGATGAATATTTTCAGGATTTGTTTCTATGAGACAGGAGGGAAAAACCTGCATTCCTTAAGGTGAAAGCTCACTGTTAAAGTTTTATCTACAAGTTGCAGTTTGAGTGCTTGGTCTTTGGAAATGAAAATACGGCCATTGTCAGGACGTCACATGCTCCAGAAGTTTACTGGTTATGCAGACACTTTTGTGGTTGTTGTTCCTTGTGTATCTTTGGAATTATCTTCAATGTGTTTCGTTTCTAGCCTTCAATGTATAGTATAACATTTTAAATGACGTTTAAATATGGGCTGATTGGCATAATAAACTGCAGAAGAAGTAACTGAGTTTCTTATTTTAAAATACAGCAACACCTCATTTCATAAATGCTTCTGTTCACAAACAAATCACGTTATGAACAGAAGCCTTTGACAGCACGTGGCTTCTGTTTGTGAGCTCTGCGTTGGGTGATGAGCACACGCCAGCCATCTTCACTGTGGGCATGAATGTGGCCCTTGTCTCCAGAGTTGTGGCATGAATGAAGTTCATGAGCCGAGACGATCGCTGTAGTTATTATCAAAGAATTTCCCTCCATTAAGTAGTTGTTAATTAGTTCTACATATATTTATCAGGCTTCTGTTATGTATGAAGCACTGTTCTGGGCATTGATATAAAGGAACTGTCTAGGAAATAATTGTGCAGTAATGTCCAAGCTTCTATTAAAAATGTGTTTATAAATGTTAAACATCATGTGGAAATCCCCTCATGTCTTGAAGGTGTTTTTTTAAAATTATCTTTACTACCTACAGTGAATAAAAAGAATCTTGCATTTCTGAGGAAAAGTGAAGCGTCCAGAGCAAAACTGATGAGTCATGGAACATATGTAAACAATCCTCTCTACGCATTTCTCACACTGTTTGTTGGCATAGTCAGTGGTGGTCAGGGGACCCTTGGGACAGAGGCTTTAGGCGTTCTTACACCTGCTCTGAAGCAGAGTTCCTGTATTTGGCTCATTCGCACTGGTGACACGTTGCTACCCTCAGTTCAGTTTTGGATGACTGAGGAGGAGAGGTTTTTTGAGCTGATCTTGGGATCAGAAACTATATAAAGCTAATAGAATAATCTCTCGTGTAGTTCCTAAAGTAATAATGATGATCCTATACGTGAAGTCTCAGAGTTATTTGAAGTAACAAATGAAGTGCTTATATCACAAACTCAAGATGATGACTTAGTCATAATTTGTATTTGTTATAACATTTATTCACAGTATCATTCACTTGTATTTACTGAGTGGTAACCTTGTGCAGCCATTACTCTGGGTGCCAAAATGAAATTTTGAACAAGACAGATCAAAATATCCCTCCTCTTGAACTTTACATTCTTGTGTGAGAGGGAAAGGTAACTTGTAGAAGTATGAGCAGATGTGATTTATGTCTTGACTACTGAGAATTAATCATGTTGTTTATAACAAGAGGTTCATGATCTTACATTTATAATTTAGACATTTTTGACAAAACTAGCAAAATATGTGGTGTTAATGTTCTTCTGTGTTCTAATTTTGTCTGATTACAGGTAAGTAAAAGAAGAAAATATAAATTTCTCTGGTACTGAGACAGACACATACCATGTAATGGAAGCCATTGATTATTCCAACTCTCGCTCACTCTCTCCTGGGGGACAAACCGAGATGCAGCGGTAGGGAACCTTCTAGAGCTTTCGGTGATGACTAACAGCCTGCTTTGGCATGAGCGCCTGCGTCTGCCTCACAAACCTTAGAACCTCCTGAGTGCTCTGCTGCTAAGCTGTGTCCCTAGTCCGGTTTTGTTTTGAGACAGGATCTTACTAGGTTGCCTAGGCTGGCCTCAACTGCATGATCCTGCTTTCTAACCCTCTGGAGTAGTTGAGAGTATAAGGTGTGTGTCACCACACCCAGCTCACAGTTTCTCCTCATAGGTTAATATTTAGAATGTTTGCTGGATACTTCTGTTAGTAATTTTTAAAAGTAGTCTGGGCTGAAGTCTTTCCAGGCTGCTTTTGATAAATGAATTTTCTCCCTTGTCAAATCATACTTCTAATGATGCAGAATATGAACTGATTTGGCTCACATTGGGATTACCCACTAGTAATTTATGAACTGATACTTTCCATGAGAATAGTTCTTAGTGTTAAAAATTGTGTAACAAAATAATTGATTTTAGAGTGTAAAGGGGAAACGTAAGGCAGTGATACAGTTTTTAAGAATTACCAAAAGGGGCTTGCTCTCTATCATTGCATTATCTGGGCAAAAATGTAAAGAAATGGCATTGCAGAAGGAATAAGATTCGATATCCTTTTTTTTTTTTTTCTTTTGTGTTCTGTACTGTATTTATCTTAATACATTCTATAATGTATTTAACATTGACATGTGGATAAGAGATTCTTAGTTCAGGAAGTAGTTTGCAGTACGAGTCACAAAAGATAAATGTTGTTGGCTAAATACTTCCCTCACACCTTCCAATTTAAGATTAAAATGAGGTCATAGGAGGGGGCCTAATCCAATAGCTTGCCATAAGAAGGAAACTAATAAACAGACAGATGGACCACTATGTGAGGACAGAAGACAATGGCCGTGTATAAACCAATTGAGGTCTCAGAAAACCAGCCCTGCCAACACCTTTGATATTAAAATTCTGAGTGCTAGCCTCCACAGCGACGAGGAATAAGTATCTGTCGTTTTTAATCTACTCCGTCTGGGGTGCTTTTCTATAGCCTTAGCAAAGCAAATACAGATTATTAACTTTGAAAAATCTTTTGCACTTGTTTTGAACTTTATTTTACTTCAGGGTTTTCGGGCCAGCAGGATATACTCTGTGGTCATCGTGGTAATTTTTCTAAAGAGTTTTGTATTCTTTTACTTAATAGTTTGCTGAGTGAAATTTATTGTTCTTTTGAATGTTTTCTACTTCTCTTCAAAGCTAAGATGATATTTAAAATTTAGCCCAGTTGGATTGTATTACAACATTAAGCATGTTTTAGATTTTCTGTCCTCATCAGCACCACCTCCTGAATCTTGGGCAGCTAGAGAAGAAAGGAAAAAGAAAAGAAAAAAAGGAGAAAGCAGTATTATTAGGAGTCAGTGTAAAGACAGTATTTTTATTCTGATACTCTAAGTATCTCCTTTTAGCCTAATTAGTAAATGAACCTACTGGAAATACTAAGGGTTTCACCACCGATACATTTTTATTCACAATTCCTTTTTTTCATTTTTGTATTTAGGACAGGGTGTACAAGGTGTACAGGGCCTCGCTGCGTAGACTGGACTCGTAGTGATCCTGTTTACAGCCTCCCCAGTGCTGGGATTACAGGCGTGCGCTGTCACGCCCAGTCTCAGTCACTGTCTCAGTGCGCTCCGGGGGTGGGGCTGGCGTGGCAAGCCCGGGGATGGAGCTTCTGCCCTGCGTATGCCTAAGCAGGCGCTCTAATCCGCTAAGCTATATGGCCAGCCCCCACAATCCTTTTATGTTTAAAAATATCTGCTAAGTAGTTCAATCCCCGGTTCCACAAAAAAAAAAAAAAAAAAAAAAAAAATCTGCTAAGTGGTTAGAAAATGGAAAGCTCGCTATTTCACGGAAACCATGTAACCTGGGAATGTTAGCTAGATGCACAGAGCTTGATGCCTGGGAATATAGGATAATGTTCTTAGTTCACAGATTTCTCTGTGTCATAGGAAAAAATTAAGAAATACATTGTTGTGCACATAAAGGGCCAGTGATCTCTATTATACTGGAAAGTTAAAATGTCAGGAGCTACTTAACAGATTGTAGGTTGTAAATTGTCAGTTGAGGTAAAACTTGATAGCACTGTGTAGTACTGCCCTTGCTTTCCACGCGCATGTAGAAGTCACTTGCTGACATGCGTGTTAGATCTCACGGTTTCCTATTTGAAGCCCTGCACTAACTTGGGGAGCCTGAATGTTTAGGTTGGCCTCAGTGCGCGTGTGTGGCAGGTGCTTCCCACGCCAACTTCATCTGGTCTTCAGGCCTTATTGCTCCCTGGACTCCAGTTCTATCAGTTCTAAAATTCTTCGGTTCCCAACTTGTTCCCACTGCAGGGAGGCTAAGCATACTGTCCAGAGTCCTGCAGCTAATGCAGAATGTCAAGCTAAAGCTGTGTTCTTACCTATCCCTGCTCCTACAGATGGTGTGATTTCATATCCTGAAGCCACTAATAAGTTTTTATGATTAGCATTCTGCAGCAGGAAAGGAGGTGTCCTGTTTACATTTAATTTTGTATGCTTTTGTCATCTACTTTCAACCATGCCTACCTCTGGCTACTTTACACAGAGTGAAAGATTCCACCTGACCTTTTCCATGAATGTTTCCTTCTTCTGACTTTTTCACCTCTTCCATTGTCTTCACCTTTGCATCGTACTCATCAGCTAGGGATTTCCATTCCACTCGGTTGTTCTGAAGGCCATTCAGCATTGGTGTGATTTCTTTGTGAAACCGTGAGAACTCCTGTAGAGAATTTAGGTCAGAAACTGCTTAGATCATGTATTTGGTATTCAGTATTTTTCCTGTGCAGAAAAGGCACAGCAAGGTGTGGTGTAGTCTCAGTGCTGCTAGGATGAGCAGAACTCAGTCCCTCTGCAGCTTGGGCAGTCCGAGCACCACTGTCTCCTGTTTGATCCCTGGCTCTGTTTGAGTGGCTTCCCTCTGAGGGCTCACACCCTTCCTTCTTCTCGGGATGAGATTAGGTCAAGCCTCAGAGTGCTGTGGAAAAACAGTGACACCTCTAGAGGTTTTCTGGATGGTTAACACTCAGAGAGAAACAATATCCTGAAGAATCGTACAGTTCATGTGTTGAAGGATTTGTTCCTAATGCAGCACTGTTCAGAGGAGAGGAACCCTCTGGGCAAAGGGATTCAGTCATGAGAACTTCTGACCTCATGAATGCATTCCTCCATTTGTGGATTCATAACTATGGATTATTGGAAGGCACTCAGAAGTTGAGGATAAGGGGTCTAGTTGCAGGAAGTAGATCATTGGGAGTGCATCCTTTGAGGGTATATATTTTTTTTAAATAAAAATAGTAAAAACATTAGAAATAATACAGAATTTCACCAGTGCTATCCCCCTTCCCTCCTACTTTTTGGCCACCATGAAGTGGGAAGCTTCCTGCCATGAAGTTCTGATTGCTGCAGTGTGGATACAGTGGAGCCCAGGGAGCATGGACTGAAACCGTGAGCCAGTGTAGGCAATTCATCTCCTCAGGTGCTGTCTTAGCAGTGGACATCTTGCACGCTTACCTTGTATACAAATGTACAGACAAAATCAATGAATCCAACTTGAAGTTTAGGTAGTTCATCTTTTTTGTTTCTGTCCATCATAGGCTAGAAAGAGAAATAGTTTAAGAATGCTTTTCCAAAATTAAGTAAAAAAAGTAGGACAAGTTTTGATAAACAGTGCTTTGTGTGTTGAGGTCTTTACAATAGGTTGTTGCTGCAACACTGTTCTTTCCAGATCTCCTTGTTCCCAAAATTCATTGGCAACCAGCAGTGCTACCTGCAAAGAAGAAAGGTGTGGTTCACTAGAGATCTTGCATTTTCTTAGTGTGAGTGACAGTTACGGGTCAGTACCTAAGTGGCGGCACACTGCCGAGCTATATCCCTGGCCCACAGCATACCAGCATCAAGCTCAGGACCTTGCATTTGCCAGGCAGACACTTATGCTGCTGAGCTATATCCCCAGCCCATCAAATGCTCTTCAATTTTAAAAAGATTGAAATGGGAAGAAGGGACTATTTCTCTTTACTTCAGTGTTCTAGTTCTGGAATTTTGTATTGCTACCAATTCTCAGCCATAAAGGGGGAATGGAAGGGTGCCTAGTGTTTCATGTGCCAATCTTTCTGAAGTCCTCCTTTGTCCTATACATCTAACTTGTGAAGTATCCAATATGTATAAGGATTGGTGTGCATCTTTGCTTGATTGCAGAGTGGGGATATTCAAATTTAATTTCTGTCATTGAGCCCATCACAATTAGTGTCTTAGATTGACATGAACCAGACTTGGCAAGAAGGGTAAGAGTAACCTTTTCCTTTCAAATGCTCACAGGCTAGTAAACAGTCACGAGGACAACAGTCTGACAAAGGAAAAGTGAGTTTCATGAATAACAGAAGACACATTTATGCTGTATTATCAGGAGTGAGGAACAGTTTACCAGGTGGAGAGAGGCATGTGTAGGTGGAATGGCTACAGCTTGTGTGAACAGTGGTAGAGTGTGTGACATTGACATGGGGGTGGGGTTAATGGGAATGTCCCCAAAATGAAAAGGGCCTGTTAGTGATAGGCTCTGTGTAATGTGCTGGGAGGTTTGAACTTGATCATCCTGGCCAAAGGTTTTCATTCTTGGAATGCTAGGGTTCCTCTCAGGGAACCCAAGATGATGGAGGCCAAGAGAGATTAAATGTATTTTTTCTCTTTTATGAAGTTATTTTTGTACAACTTTTGTGGGGGGGGGGTGGGCTTTGTTTCTTTTGAAAGGTTGAGAATATCTGGCAGTGGGGGATTGGGAAGGCTTTTAAGTAGTACTGTGACAGAGCAGAGTTCTGCAAATAGCAGCAGCAGCAGCAGCAGCAATCAGCATGAAGAGGCTTAAGTCCGTGACGAGCATGGAGGTGAGAGTGATTTTGAAACTGAGATGAGCTCCAGTGAGGCCCCCAGTGTCCTGCCTAAATGATGGTAAAGATAAAGACTTAGGAGAAAAGCTAGCCTGTCAAGCTGAGTAAGCATTTGGTTTTGGACTTGATGGTATTCAATTTCAGGACATGCTACGTCCCAAATAGTTTATACTGAATGAATCTGAGGAACTGCAGAAGCAGGAAGGCGGCTGCCATCCCCTCACTGTTCCTCCATGAAGCTGGTCCTAGAACCTAGGAAGGATTGTTTGGCTTTTCCCAGAAGCCAATTAAAAGGTGTCCCCTCCACATCTGCAAGAAAAAAGCCAAATAAATGGCAAAATAATTTGAAAAGTAGGCTTCACTAAATTTCTCCAGCTTATTACTGTCAGTCTTAGCCCTTTGTCCATTTCTACTTCTCTATGACTGTCCATCATCAAGCCTAGCTTGTAGGAGATGACCGAGGGCCACGGGATCCTGAACAGACCCAGAATGCAGGCCCGGCCAGTGAGTGAGACTGCCCGGGGCCACGGGATCCTGAACAGACGAGAGCGCAGGCCTGGCGAGTGAGTGAGAGGACCCGGGGCCACAGGATCCTGAATAGACCCAGAGTGCAGGCCCTGCAAGTGAATGAGACCACCCAGGGCCCTCTGGATCCTGTATAGACCCAGAACCCTGGACCGGTGAGTGAGTGAGAACACCCAGGGCCCACGGATCTTCATTCGACCCAGAGTGCAGGCCCAGAGAGGAACCCTTCAGCAGAACTCCCTGCAAAGACGCTAGGGGCAAGACCCACCCAGCTGATGCAGGAGCAGAACATCTTGCCAGAGAGACACAAAGGGTTCAACTCTAATGCCTGCAGCAGAAAGAAGTGGAGCACACAGCCAGATCCAAACAACACCCACTTGGAGGAATCTGAACTTCATAGATCCGGACCTGGTGCTAAGGTAATAACTCTATCTCAGCTTTACACCAAAGGTCAGGAGACAGTGGTATACAAAATGACAAAGAGAAGGAACAAGATGCAGTTTCAGGCCCCGAGTCTACCCAGTACAACTGCAGAAGACACTAGCACTGAGGAGACTGGAAATCACACACCGAATATCTCTGAAATAATAGCGTTAACAGTAAAGAAACAACTGCAGAAAGGTATAGAAGAAATCAGATCAGAAATTCGGAACTAAAAATTTAGTG